GTATCAATATACAACATTATGGAATTAATTGACATAGTATTGGGTAAACAATATGTTAAAAATAATGCAAGTTCCATTCTTCGAAACATCTGGGTTGAGACAGTATCAATGACAGGTTCAAAAAATAACCAACAACCAAACAAAAATTACAAGTTAAATCAAGGCAAACATGTGGTATCTAACCTTTTGGGATTCGCTCATTTCCCTTAGCATTATAGTTTCCAGTTGGGCCCATTTAGCCACAAAGAACTGCATATTGTTTTTTTTAATAGCTGAGTAGTATTCCATGGAGTAGATGAACCAAAGCTTTCTTATCCAATCTTCTGCTGATGGGCATTTCGGTTGCTTCCATGTTTTTGCAATTACTGATTGTGCTGCAATGAACACAGGGATGCATGTTGGTTTGTCGTAAGACAGGTGTTTTGGATATATTCCTAGGAGTGCTATTGCTGGGTCATATGGTATGCAGATTTTGAGTTGTTTGAGTGTTCTCCAGACTGATTTCCATAAAGGCTGTACCAATTTGCAGCTCCACCAGCAGTGGAGTAGGGTTCCCTTTTCCCCGCATCCTCGCCAGCAAGCGTCGTTGGTGTTCTTGTTTATGTGGGCCAATCTTACTGGTGTTAGGTGGTACCTCATCGATGTTTTAATTTGGATTTCCCTTATTGCCAGGGAGCTGGAACATTTTTTCATATGTTTGTTTGCCATTTGGACTTGTTCCTTTGTGAAATGTTTGCCCATTTCCCGTGCCCATTTCTTGAGTGGCTTGTTTGTTTTGGTTTTTTGGTTGTTTTGAAGTTCTTTGTATATCCTGGAAATTAGCCCCCTATCACCTATGTAGTGTGCAAAGATCTTCTCCCACTCTGTGGGTTGCTTTTTTACTTTGTTGATTGTTTCCCTTGCTGTACAGAAGCTTCTTAGTTTGATGAGGTCCCATTTGTTTATTCTGTTCTCAACTGCTATTGCTTTTGGTGTCCTTCTTAGAAAGTCGGGACCTACTCCTAGGTCTTGCAGGGTATTTCCTACATTTTCTTGCAAGAGTTTGAAGGTTTCTGGATGTAGGTTTAGGTCTTTTATCCATGTAGATTGGATCTTAGTGTATGGTGATAGATGTGGGTCTATCTTTTTGTTTCTACAGGCTATCAGCCAGTTGTCCCAACAACATTTACTAAAGAGGCCTTCCCACTTGCTTGGACTGTCATTGGTCTTTTTGTCAAAGATTAATTGGCTGTATCTGTGTGGGTTCCCTTTTGGTGCTTCTATTCTATTCCATTGATCTTCCTTTCTGTCTTTGTGCCAGTACCAGGCTGTTTTGATAACCACTGCTCTATAGTATGTCCAGAGGTCCGGGATTGTGATTCCCCCTGCTAACTTCTTATTCTTCAGGATGGTTCTAGCTATTTGTGGTTTTTTGTGCTTTCAGATGAACTTTTGAATCATTGTATCACCATCCATAAATTTTATCTGCCTTTCCAATAAGAATAAGTCTTTAGAAGAAAAAAGAAATAAGAAAAACAAATTTTGTGGGAGTTATTTTGTTTCTTTGTTTCAGAGAATCATCTGAAAGATTCTAAATGAAAATCAGCTCATCAGTTTTTGAAAATTGGTAGGTTATTTGTTTTGCTTCTTTCTCTGGTTTATCTTGATTTCAAAGCCTTGTTCAATTCATTGTGGGTGTTCTCTGTTCTCTAAGATAATTTTTAAATGCATATGTCACCCTAAGTGAAATTCTGTTTTTGATAGAACTCAAGCTTTTGGGCCCAGTGCAATAGCTTAGTGGTTAAAGTCCTCGCTTGCATGCCCAGGGTTCCCATGCTCTGGTTTGTATCCCAGCTGCTATGCTTTTCTTCCCATTCATCTCCTTGCTTATGGCCTGGGAAAGTAGTCGAGGATGGCCCAAGATCTTGGGACTGTGCACCCAAGTGAGAGACCTGGAAAAATGTCCTGGCTCCTGGCTTTGGATCAGCTCAGCCCCGGCCATTGCGGCCACCTGGGGAGTGAATCAGAAGATGGAAGATCTTTCTCTCCCTCTCTCCTTTTCTCTGCAAATCTTTCCAATAAAAATAAATAAGTACTTTTTAAAAAGAGCTCAAACTCTCATTGCCTGAATGGTGCATTTGATTTTTGTGGCTTATTCTTTCCAGGTATCTAGTCACATCTGCTTCAGTGTGAGGTAGACGACAATGAGTTCGAAGCACTACAGGTGTGGCCCAGGGCACCTACCAACACGGCGATGGTCACGATGTGTGTGAGCCACCATCACTGGAAAGCACTTCTCCCTGAGAAAAAAAAGTTCTTTTTTTTTTTAATCTTTATACTTTTTCCATTTCTTTATGTATTTGTAAAAGCTTATATTTACTACCCAACATTGTATGTGCTTCCTCAAATGTTTTCAACTCATACATACCATACAACGTGGCACAAGTGTTAACACACTTATTTCTCAAACGAGGTACATGACTCTCCAGGGATGAGCCATTTACTAAAGACTCCAACACAAAAGATAGCAGAGCCACCTGGGCCAATCCTGTCCAAAGGTTCACTCTCCCTCATTGCTCAGTCAAGGAATCCGACTTAGAAAGATTCAGCCAGCTCTTCAGAATCCCCACAAAGCATGCAGCCACTCCATTGAGATTTTAATAGATAAATGTATTGAAACAGCGTGTGACACTCCAGACTCTTCTGCCATAAAAAGGAATGAAGTGTTGTTTGCAACAAAATGGATGTAGTCATGCATCCTTTGTGATATGTCGCGGTGTTCATTAAGCTGTAGTTGAAGAGTAGGTTGAAATCATGCTTGCAAAAAAAAAAAAATGGAAAGGAAGGGAGGAGTGAAAATCAGCAGAAGGAGGCAGAGGAGAGAAATAGGACGACCTTAGATTGTAACTGTGAAGTAAATGAAGTCTGCTCTCCATGTGGGTAAACAATTTTGAAAAATAAATAATATTGTGAGTGGTTGAACTGTACAATGCATGATTATGTTATAGCAATAATTTGGAAAAAAAAGATCATAAGCGGGATACAGGGAGGGAGATAAAAGAGGGAGGAGGAAACCCCCTATGCTTCTAAATCTGTAGTGTGGAAAATGTCTTTCTCTCAATATTTCCTTGTCTCTGTAAAACTGGCTTTCTAATAAAAACAAATACATTATGAAAAAGAGAGAGAGAGAGAGAGAGAGAGAGAGGTTCTGGCACGATGCCTTAGCGGCTAAATTCTCACCCTGCAGGCCCTGGGATCCCATATTCCAATAAAAATTAATTCAAGCAACAGTGAAATGTCATCATTTTATATAAATTTTAAAACAGTGATAAAAATGCAAGCCCAAAAGCCATAATGGCATATGTCTATTGATCTTTAAATTAAAAATTATTAAAGAAATTCTGCTTGGCACTTCATTGAATTTGGAGTTTGGTTTGTGAGTGAGCACATTTTCAAATGTTCTGTGGTTCCTGTGGAGGAAGGTAATGCATCTATGGTTCTCTTTTTTATTCATGTTTAAATTTCCCGATTGTGTATTAACAGTTCACATATACCCATTTAAATGTTTTTCAACATATATTTTTTTTTGCTAAAATTGTCATTGTGTCGTTGGGATCTTTTCTCCATTATGCAGTGTTCTGGTAATAGTTGAACCAATACCATTAGTTGGCGTTATAATGAGATGCAAATAACATCCAATGTTCACAGATTACACAACTTACAAAATGGTGTACAGTTTATGGGTTTACACACATGTGTCCTGACTTGTAGGTAACAGTTGGTCACCCTACAGAAGAAAGTTACTACCCCGAATGCCCTCTTATTCCATCCATGCGCCTTTCTCTGTCCTTCCCGTGGCATCCACTTACCATTTAAGTCTTCATTGTGTTGCCATTTCTGGGTGGGATCAATAACAGATTTCAGGTTTTTACCAAACATCTGAGAGGTATTCAGGTGCTAAAATGATTACTTTGAAAGGATCATTAACTAGGATTTTGTTGTTGTTGTTCATTCTATTCAGAGCAGGAGCAAAGTTCAGTGTCATAATCTTCACACTTCACAAGGTGTCTAGCCAGTTTTATTCCCATCATAGCCCCAAGACCCTCTAGCAGAAGCAATTTATGGTTCCATCTCATAGGAAATGCTGAGCACTGGACACAGTACCTGCCACCTTTCCTTGCCCGAGTAAAATTTGGAGCTAAGAGGTCTTTCCTAACGTGTAGTGTTGCACCAGGTTCAGAGTTTTCTGGGCAATTATATCCAGATTCTCCTTATTTATTGTAGGGTATGCATTCCCATGACATCCTAGAATATGTAGGACTTTCAGCTTGGGTCTGATTTTTCCACAAAAGGAATGTGTCTGTGAATTACAGTTCCACCTATATGTGGTGAGGAAAGAATTCTTCAGAAGCTTCTGCTCTGCCTGCTGCCATCATTTCCTAGTCTTGGTTTCAAATTGAGACTGAAAGTGTGAACCTCTGCAATGAGTCCATGTCACACTTAAAGAGGTTGACTAACTTGTGAAATTGGTGCAATCAGGTGGGGCAGTCAAAGTCACCGAAAGCAGTTTCTGTTTAGCTATACTTTCTAGCCATGCTTTGAGGTATCTGTGCCGGTCGGGTGGAAACGGAGAGAGAAACAGGAAAAGGCATTCAGACAAAGGGCAGAGATTTTTTTTTGGATCTGCTTTACCTTGGCTTCGTGGATCCTCTATCTCTGTGCTTCAGTTTTCAGAATGCATTTGTGATTGCATTGATAGAACAAAGATAGATCCTTAAACTCTCAAATGCAAATGTGAGATCAAGAGATAAATTAGAGGATGCTCCACTGCACACATTGGGTACAGAGCAGATTTCTCAAGCTGAAGTCCAGTGTACACAGAGACAGTAGTATAGTATATCAGCTTCCCCTAAGGGGGAAAAAAAAAAGACTAGAAGCCAGCCCTTGTGACTTGGTACCTGTCCCTGTGGGCAGGGCCAGAGAGACTCATGAGATACAAAGTGTGCTGGCCTCCGGGGCTCCACAGTTCCTGCCGTGTAGTAAGAACGCCCTTCTTTCTCTAAAGCTGAGAACTCAAAGAAAGATTCACCACTATGAGGCTGTCTGTGTCTCTCCTGTTGGTCCTTCTGGCCCTTTGCTGCTATGAGGGTGAGTATCACTTGTGATGAGTCTCAGAGCAGCTTTCTCTGCATGCCAGGTGGGATGGTGTCGGGGTCCAGCACTTCACAATATCCCTAAGTTATTCCTAAGCCTATTGTAATAACAGCCTCTTTACTGCAGCCAAAACACTCATTTTTTTTCAATTTAATTTCAATGGAATTTGACAAGAAAAATCCCTGCAGGAAATTTCAGGAGGCCATCCTGAGCCACACTCCTTAACTGACACCTGTGTGCTCAGCCCAGTGCAATGGCAGCGCACGCCAGTCTTGTGGCTCAGGGCCAAATCCTGATGCTCTTACAGTCTCTCTTCATCATTCCTGTTTATAGTCAGCATCTTGAAGAGCTGTGAGAGTGAAGTGAGATTATGTGTGTTAGTGGCAGCTGTCTACAGGAAGCTTCTATCTACAACGATCAGACTTTCTCAAGTGCCGATTGAGCTCTCAATGTCTTAGCTCATGAGTTGAACACAGGTCAAACTTCATATCTGGAAGGATATCTGTGGAGCTGCTAGTCCCCAAAGAGCTAGAATCTGAAATTTCTTAATTACAAACCTTACAATGAGTATTGCCAGTCTTGGAGGAATGCCAGCAATAGTGGTGGTAGAGCAGGTCTAACAGTCCAAGGATTTTTATTAAATTAGAACTGATTGTATCTTCTCTTTCAACAATGCGATATTTTGCATATTTCCCTGTTTGCAGGATGATCCAAGACTGTTTTAGACTTAGTTACTCCTTTTATGTTTCAGTCCTGTCCGTCGTTTCCTGTATTGCCTCTTATTCCACTGTCTCCAAATTCCAATGAAAGTTATGTCTGAATTCAGGGTCGCAGTACATCCTTGTGGGAGTCACTTTGGGCTATAGACTAGTTCCATGTCCTAGAAGAAAAGTGCATCGACATCAGGAGAAATAATTTCTCTAGGTGTTTCAAACCACTCCCAGTGTTGTTGGGGGAATGGGACACAGTCCCTCCTCCCAGTCTCTCTAAGGATTCTATATACCCCTCCACAGCAAAAGAGCCTAAAGCACACTGCCCAGGGTGTGTGGGGAGACTCGCTGTCTTTGAATTTTAGCCTCTGAATCTATGTGTATCCAATACCATTTTCTGAGTTTCTCCAAATTTGTCTCAAATGTCACCTCTAAACATCTTAACAAATCCACTGACTCTTCTCCATTTACTTCTCAAATATTGTGGGGTTCTCCCTGCCATTCCCCCAAATCTATTCTTCTCCAAAAATTATCCAAGACTGATTTTGTATCATGAAATTTACAGATAACCTGAGTTTGTTTAAGGTTACAAAGATTTCAATTAAAGGGAAAGTTTCAGAAAATACTGAATGCTCATTTTCATTAAAAATAAATAAATTTAAAAAAAAACTACAAAAGCTAACTTAATGATTCGGAATTTGTCTTTTAGTTTGCTACTTACTGTGTAATCTTGAGGAATTCAGAACCATCAAAATCTTTCAGTGTGGCCTACACACTGGTAGGATGGAAGCACGAAGCCCTGAAGATTCCTTGTAGCTTCTTAAAGAAAAAAATCTCTATTTTTCGCGATACAGTTTCTTATACTCAGGGAACTCCCCTTACCCCCCTCTCTTCCGCCCCCACTGTTTCCCCCTATATTATTATAATAGTTTAGTCCCTCATAAGTCCATCATTCTTCTATCTAAGTGTATCCTGACACTGTAGGTATAGACAGTGGTAGAAACCCAGCATTTTATTGTCAAGATATTTTAAAGTTTCATTGGGAGTCTATCTCTTATTCAGAAGTAGAGACACATACTGCAGTGTATCTCTACTTTGTGGAACATTTGTCTCCATTATGCAGTTCCTCTAGATAAATACATGTAAATGCATGTTTAGCTATATATCTATTGATCTTGTATTTTGCATAGTTGCCTATACCAGAGAGAACACATCATCTTTGTCCTATTCAGAAATAAGCCAATCCCATATAGTTTCACATGAGAAGGCCTTGGGGGAAAGCTTTCCTCGTGTAACTTGCCTTCTCTCTGCTGTAGGTGATGCAACGGTCTGCCCTGCTCTTCTTGCTGAAAATACAGGGTATTTATATTTGCCTGAAGATGCGTTTAGAGCACAACTGGCCACATTTGCACCACCAGAAGAAGCAGCTGAGGCACTGATAACAGTGAAGAAGTGCACTGATGAAATGTCATTCATTGAAAGGACCCGAATCGCAGAAGCACTGGTAATTTCTTTCTCTTCTGTTCAGCTACATAGCTTGGCATGAGGTCAGCTTGCCACTCAATCGGGTTCCAGTGTAGCGGGCAGTAGTTTGTTGATCACCTCATGCAGAGTGGCCCCAGGTCACAAGGTATGTGAGAGCTCCACTTCTGCTGATTTAAACTCAGGTGCACTGACATTTCTGATGAAATTCTTCCTCAGATCACTCACTTGCTTCCTTGTTGTGTCCTATGAAGGACATTTAGGCTACAGGTAACAATGCTGAAATACCAAACCCTTCTGCTTCCCCACCTGGAGCTTCCCGAAGGCAAGTCCACTCAGAGGGCATTGGGAGCGTAGATGGGGACAGGGAGTGTAGTGGGAAATACCCTCTGGAATGAAGAGACAAAGGGTCTCTAAATTGTGTCTGCAGATTTGGAGAGACAGAAATCCTGCAACTTTCCCCTTATTGCCTCTGGCTATTCTTGTAATGCAGGGTAAAATGTGCCTTGAGGATTTCTCTCCTGCAGCGCCATGCCTTGCTAGAGCATCTGTGTGGGTCTCTGCCATCTCTCTATCTATGTCTGAGTTCAAATGGTGAAATTCAGTTTCCAAGTCCATTGAAATTGGAATTCAGTGTTGAGATTTCCATGGACTGCAAGGCAGAACCCATTCCCTGGGAGGCTGAGTCTTCTGGACGCAGAGCCTCCCAGTATCCCATGTCTCTCAGCTGCGGGCTTCCCACTGCAAGTGACAGCAGATTACACTATACTGCAACATTACAGAGGAAAAAAAAATCTCATGGTTATTTGTGTCCATTTATTTATTCTCTCCTTCCAATACAGACCTAAACCAAACACATGGGCCGTCTTTTTTCCTACTCTTCCATGATCTTGCAAAATACTCTGGTATTTGACTTACTTAGGAATGCTGTTCTGTGATCTGAATGGTTTGTTGTAATTTGTCCAGGTTTATGCCATCATTTAAGAAAACGCAGCTTTCTACTAATTTTAACCCAACTATGCCTTTCAAAAGCAAAACTCCACTGATGTATTGGTTTGACTAGGCTGCTACCTGAGGAACAGTCATGCTTGGACTTACCTCTCATTCCTGCTTTCTTTCTGTGGTTCAATTTCAGGGAGAAGTGGTGGGAGAATGCCCAGTGCTTGCTGTATGAAGACTACTGGGTCCTGGTTTCCAGAGCCTGTCAAGGATATCATATTTCTGAATTTAGAATATCCAGGTTTCAATGTCTTGCTTTAATAAATCATTTCCCTAGCATTTCTCTGTGTATCCTTGCGCTGTCCTACAGTCAGCACACGGGATTTGAGGTGCTTCTAACAAGGAAGGCTCTTGGCATTGATAGTAGCCGTTTGCAGAGACCCGATGCTCAAAGGCAGCAGAAGTTTCAGGCATCACAAAAGCACGTGACTTCACAGACTTCTGATTTGCGCAATCGTGAAGAACAATGATGGGAACACCTGCACAGAAATGACAGCGTTTTTGATGGTCTTACATTGGGGGACCTTCCTGGTCTCACACTCCAATCACATGGTTCACATTTGAACAGCAGAAGTGTGACACCCTCATCTCCACTGCAACCCTCTCCCCTCCCTCTGGTTAAAACCTATGTCAGGCCCAGAATTGACTACTTGCAATTTTCTGCGATTTAAAGTGAATCTGAAGGAGAGGTTGGAGGTGGCAGAGCAACGTCTAACGACGCTAACTCAAGCTGGCTTGGGATACCAAAAGCAGAGAGGAAGGACAATGCTTGTAGGAGTTTCAGTGAAGCTTTGAAACTAAACCAAAACTAAAACAACAAAGAAGCCTCCAGGGGTAAAGAGGAGAGCGGTTAGAGACATTGCCACTCCAAGGTTGGAAGAAGTCACTGCCCGGTTTTAGCTGAGATTGAATTCCAGGTACCCCCTGATTTATACTTCACCCCAGAGCGCTGTGGTCGCAGCCCTGCAGGTTTGGAGCAGGGGACCCACGTTGTTTTCTTCTCCCTCCTTCCCCCGCCCACCCAGAACACCCTTCTGTTCTATTTTTTTTTTTTTTTATTGGAAAGGCAGATTTACAGAGAGAAGCAGAGACAGAACGATCTTGTGCCCACTGGTTCACTCTCCAAAGACCTCACTGGCCACAGCTCTCCAATTGGCCACAACGGCCAGAGCTGAGCTGATCCAAAACCAGAGAGACAATTATTTCTTCCAGGTCTCTCATGCAGGTGCAGAGTACCAAGGCTTTGGGCCATCCTTGACTGCTTTCTCAGGCCACAGGCAGGGAGCTGGAAGGCAAGTGGAGCAGCCAGTACATGTACAGGCACCCATATGGGATCCCGGTGCACGCAAGGCAAGGATTTAGCCACTGAGCCTAACATACCACACTGTTCTGCTCCTATTAGCATTGTAACCAGAGTCAGGGCGAGCAAAGACAGATCCTCTGCATCCTGCTGCTGTGGGATTTGGGGGATGTTAGCCCCAGAGCCATGCTGACCCACCCGATGTGAGCAGGTAACTTACCTTAGCTTCTGGAAACTAAAACCAGAAGGAGCCCATTCAAATGTTCTCTCTTACTCTGAGAGATCTGGGTGATACATTATATCACACATGACCAGGACTGAAACAGTTGATTCTAAATTTCTGGACGGCACTGAAACACCCCCAATGGATATAAAAACTTACCTGCATTTCACCATTCCAGGCACATAAGCTACAGAGTAAAACCTCTGGTATACCTTATAGTTCCCCTGTAGGACTGGAATAGGTTTAATTTCCTATCTCCTAGTCCAGGACTAGCACAGCACCAGCTGGACTCTCCTAGCAGAACCTGATGAAGAGTTCATCCTTATCACACAGTCCTAGAGCCATAATAATAATTTGAGCCACAAGCCCCACCATCACTCAGACTTGCCCATGATTCCCCGGTCACCAAAAACTAGTCCCTGGATGTCACATTTGCCAGGGAGAATGACACCAAAGTCCCTGTGGGATAAAGATACACACTCAAAGAAGTCTTTTTTCATTTCAAAGCCACACTTCTTTCCCTGTGATAGGGCCTGGCATGATAGCATATCTGCTGAAGCCCTCACCTTGAGCAGGCCAGGATCCCATATGGGCACCGGTTGTATCCCTGGGTCCAATTGCAAAGGAGACCTAGGGGAGGCTCCTGCCCTTGGATCTGCTCAGCTCCACACACTGTGGGAGTGCATCATTGGGCCCAAACCTCTTCCTCCGCCCCAAACCATTTATTGCAGTAATGTGAACAATTAAGCATTTATGTAAACTTGATTTTCTGAACTATTCTATATTGCCTCGCTTCAGACATATCAAAGCCTATATATTTCCAGATTCTATCCCTACACTAAAGAGGCAATTTGGAAACTGTCTCATTGGAGACAGAAGCCAATGATCTCAGATCCTACCCAATGCAAACTGACCAAATCTATTCCAGAAACCACTGTAAAACACACAATATGAATCAAAAGAAATAACTAAGATAAATGACAGAAACAAGTTCTTGCACCACTTCGCCCTTTCAACAACTTGACAACAGTGTAGCTTCTACAAACCACACTCACTTACCCGTTTCTAACCTTACTATGCTAACCTACATACAACCAAATTAATTCTACCTTTGGTAACGACAAAATATCAGTCTCCGAAGAGACTGTCAAAAATTGCCAATGCCGACTATATTTCAAGTCGTCACGGCGGGGTATTGGGAAAAGTTTTCAATTAGCAATAATCGCGCCTCGGATAAACCTCATTGGCTACGATACTGCCACTGCGCAAAGCTGATCTGGCCTAAGCCCCGCTAACGTCCCCAAGCATTCAAGTTCCCATTACAAAAAGGAGAGTTTGAGGCACAGAGAAAAACGTCTCAATTATTGTTTGCGTTAAAATAGAACGCATTTACGAATATATTCACCAAAGTACATTGGCAGTTTCTGGAAATTCTGGTTGTGATTCTATTTAAACAGTGTTCGGTGTGGGCTGAATCAAAGCATTATGGGAGAGAATATGCTAATAGCCAACTCAGAGGCGGCGGCGGGTGGAATGTGGGGGTGGGGTGAGGGAAGTGCTACAAATGGCTGCCTGGGCTCGTCTCCCTGGGCTCTGGGAGTGGCTTTTCAGCGTCACGGTCCTCCTCCCAGAGGTGTTTTCGTTTCTGGAGTGGTGTCTTTTTTTTTTTTTTTTTTTTATCCTGCACGTAGTTAAAACGTGTGTGAAATGGCCGTCACATGTACTTTCCACATATAAATGTTAGTTTAGGGACGTGGGATGCAGTCACAATTCCGCGTTCCCAGTTGGCAGGGGCGGAGCCCTGGACCCCTGCCCTGCTGCTTTGGTGGATGTCAAGCTGTGAGCTGGATGGGAAGTGCAGCAGGAAGCACTGGACCCCGGGCACCTGTGGGCTCCCAGTGCTGCGGGTGAACCGGCTGTTAACTTCACAATGAGATCACTAACAGATTTCTCCTTTCTGAATTCCCAAGTTTTTTTTTTTTTTCCAGTCCAGAATTAGGAAATTTCAGCAGTTGTTTTGTTTCGCCCTTGTAAAGTGTGTGTGTGTGTGTGTGGGGGGGTGAATCTGAAAACGTGGAACCTAAATTTGTGACCCAAAATTTGTGGTGCTAGGTCTGCCCCTCGCGGTGTGATTATCTCAAGTCTGGCACAGCCTAACGTTAGCATAGTTAGGACAGTGAAACTCCAACTCAAGGCAACTTGAGGAGCCCGAGTTTAACAAGCAGGGGAGGACACACATTCTTTACATAACTTGCATTCCTGCTTTGATGCTCCAGTGAACTGAGCCTATCCAAGCCATTTCTGAAGAACCCTAAGTCTTAATGACCACGGGAATTCCATTCCATTTATTACAGCTTTCTGGATATTGTGTCTCCAGATGCTGTTTGAAGTGAAATTGAAAGTGAGTGGATGAACGGGATTATACATTCCTTTGTGAAAAAACTTGCAATGGAGGAAATAAAAGAGAAACAGTAAAGTCTTATGCAAAACGACTTGAAAGTGAGGAATGAGTTCAGCTTGCTGTTTTCTGTGTTGTTGGTGGAGCGGGCACCTGCCTGGCTTTTATCCATGCAAAAGGCCATCAGTGAATACTGCAATGTGTACGGAAAACCAAAACCCTTAATAGAAAAGCAGAACCCCGCCTCCTGTCTCCCTTAGCACAAGCGGTGCTTGCTTGCCTTTTATCAAGAAGAATTCACTGATTTAAGGGAGTGATGCAGCTGGCCTTATAGGCTACTAATCAACTGACTCAAGGACTCATTTTCTTCTCCAACAGACAAGAATGGTGGCTGGTGTTGTGCTGGAGTGATTCCTGGAGAGGTCAGCACAGAATGTAGCAGCTGAATTCGCTATAACCTGGCGACCAACTGGAGCCCATGTGGCCAACATAAATTCCCTCAAGAGCATGATATGACCAATCAAAGGGAGGCCATGAGATCCACTGACCAACTATAACTTGGACACTAGCTGATCGTGCAGCTCTCAGCCCCAGTTCTAGTACATAGAGCCTTCATTCCAACTCTTCAGGGAGCCCAGGAATTCAGCAGGGGCTCCCTGGCTTGTTCCTCTGAGCTTTGCACTAACCACCCCATGTTAGTGATTGGCTTTCTGCACAGTGGGTTAACCAGTTTGGGGGCTCTACTGTGGTGGGGTAGGCAGCTAGCTCAGGATCATGGGCTTGGAAGCCACTCCCCTACCACCACGTAGGTGTTCCCTCCTGCCCACCTGTGATGTTTGAAGAACCTAGGTGTTTTCTACTTTTGTGGTTTCTGCCTTGCTTGCTTGGCTTGGGGCTGTGTGAACTCCAGGCCTGATAGTCTACGTGACACCTGGCAGGTCACGTAGGCAGAGCACTCATCGGGAAGCAGATCCCTGGTGTGCTTGTTAGATAAGTTGCTCATTGCCCTATAGCCCACCAGTCTGTACTTCTTGAAAGTTGCTTGCTTCAAATCCACCAATTGAAGCCTGCCAACTTGTTCTTTTTAAAGGTTAACAGTTAAACTGACCAATCACAACATTGTGTGGAACTTGCCTGAAATGTATAAAAGCCCTGTGCTGTTGAACCTCAGCCCCTTTTTCCTTCTGGCCCTGTGCTGCTGATGCTGATTCTGCTGTTACTGATGCCTTTCCTTCTGGGCGGAGGTGATGGCTGGGAGCCTAGGCCAGCCTGAATAAACGGCCCTTAGGTGTTGGCACCGACTTCAGACTCATGATGGTTTTCTGGGGATCCCAAACTTTGGGCACAACAATGTTCACCTATTATCATCTGGAACCTCAGAGGGGGTGGCATTGCATTGTTGCATCACTACTCCTCTCACAAGCCCCAATAAAGGCTCCTGATGAGGAGAGGCTGGAGCTCTTGGTCCTGTGCTGGACTCTGTGCTGGACCCCAGTCTGGACTCTTGGCCTCTGCAGTACCTCTGAGGACAGGTGTCCCCTGAGCATGGTCCCTGTGTGTCTGTATTCCTCACCCTATGTCTACTGCTTATGTAGGACAATGAGGGTAGCAATGTTGTTTCTGATTTGTGTGCTATCAGGAGTTCCAGGAGAGGTGAGGCCTAGCAGCAGTGGAATGTGGGCAGAGAAGCCAGGGAAAAGAGAACATTTTCAGCTTTGTAAGTGTGTCTAGGCTATTTGTAGCATGTCTCTTAGGATAACTTCTGTTGTTGGGGAAGCTGGCACATAGATCTTCAGCTTAATGGATGGACTTCAGGGTGATGACTATCTGTTCCTCTTGGGGTTGTGATTGACTGGATTGCCGTAAGGACTTGTGATTTGCTGTCTCTAGTGGGCCCTGTTATCACCAAGCTTAGTTAATAAAGACTCCTTAATAAACTGTAGACATGTCTGGCATGATCTTGCTCACACCCCACAACAGTTTCACCAGGGACCAGCTTAAGGTGTTGTTTGGCAACAAACTGCTGTATTATATTCAGGTGTACACCACATTCTAGGCAGTTCCCTCTCAGGTCACAGGATGGGACCTTCCCTATGGTTTTCTGAAAAAGAACAACCTGGCCACAGATAAGGATGTTGGTTTGCATACCTTGCTGCCTGAGAGCTTCCTGAATGTGCACTCAACCCACCTCATGAGTCATCCCTGTGTTATCTCCTGGGGAGAGTTGGGAGTATGCAACTGGGCACAGAAGTGAGGAAATTCCAGTGCATTTCCTGTGAGACTGAGGCTGCAACTGGTGAAGTTTCTTCTCCGGTGTCTTCATATCTATAAGCTAAGTAAAGCTCCACGTTTCACTCCTTTACTTGCCATTCTCATATTTCTGAGTCAGAAATACTTGCTTCTTTCACCCCAGGTGAGGCTCTTTTGGGGACTCCCCAACTAGACTGCTGGACTTAGGCATTGGCCAAAGAGAAAAATCACAGGATGTGTATTGGGATTGGGGTTGTTTGAGAGGATCCAGACGGCAATTAGGGTCTCTGGTCCCTGGTAAAGTTACCTTTTTAGATATAAAATTGAGCTTCTCCCCATTTCTTACCCTCCCAAGAACATGTTCTCCCTTGAGCAGTGTGTATCAATCACCATATCTTAGAGTTGTTGTCATAACAAAAGCAAGCAGACAGACCATACTAATTCCATCTATGGCTTCTTATTGCCAAAGAGATGATGCCTGAGTTTTCAGCTTATTATCAGAATGGGAGGAGGAAGCCACCAGTCCCACCCTTTCGATGTCCTTTGGTTCTGGACAAGGTGCTGTATCACTGCCCACTGGGAATGGTTTCCTCTCCGCCCTTTGTCCCCCTCCCTGAGATGGTGCATAAGACCCTTCCACCATTTCCTCGGGACTTTGCCTTCCTTGGAGCTCCTTCCTGTCACCATGGCAGGACATCTCTCCCTCTCTTAAATAAATCTTGCCTTGCACACTAACATTGGACAAGGAACAAGGCTGCTGTTGCTTTTTGTATTAGATTTCCTGCAACACCCTCAGTTATTGATACCTGTGCAGTGGGCAGCATGTCCAGATACATGAGGGACATGATGGCTAGCTTATCCAGGCTAGCAGGAGATGTCAACGGTCTCATCAGAGGATGGGCTGGGATAGCCCAGACAATAGAAAATGACCACAGCAAGGTTAGGTCTTCTGAAACATTTCTGGGTCATGTGCATAACCTGACGTTTGCCATAATGTTGGCTTCTTAGAAAGTCCTGAAATAGAACTGAGAGTGCTTTGTCAGTCTACCTCATCATTCCAGAATGAGGTTCTTTCTTTTACAGCTCAGGTAGTAAGAGGCAAGCTGATTGACCCAAGTAGTTCTCTGTAAACAGAATTGGAAAGTCCTGTTCGTTACTAGAGGTAGTATGCAACTCTTACTGATTGGATGGCTTAAAATATATGGTGTTTAAATTGGATATCTGTGCTATGCCACTACATTTAAATGGATCACTTGTATCGTGCGCTGATGTGAGCTTGGTTTATTGGATGATTTGCATCATGTGCCAATGCTCTCTTAGCTGTTTGGATGATCATTGCTTAAGAAAACCCTGAACATGGCTGATTGGGTCAGACAGCTTCAGTGTGAAAAAGCCAGATTTATTAGAGATATTAAAGATGGAAACCTATTGCAGCAGGAGGGGGTTTGGCTTCAAGAAAGACCCTCCATTCTCAGAGTCTGTCTGTGGAAAGCCATATAGCAAGCAGAATGGGGAGGCTGAGAGTGATGGATTCAGGCAAACAAGAGCACAAGCCTCACTCTATCACCGACTTTCAGGGGGTACTTGGGAGGGGAGTAGTTACACAACAAGTCAATATAATTTCTATCAAAGATTTTTCTTTCTTGTTTTCACCTAACAGGGCAAGTTCCTTTACCTTCCTTGATCTTGGCAAGTGTCATCTATCCTCAGGCTTCTTTAGCCTTCTTTAAATACTTTCAGCATTTGCTCTTGGATGTCGCTTTCCAGTTGTCTGATTTTTGACACTACACTTCCTGCTACTTATGAGACCACTACTCATCAGACAATTTTTTATTTTCTCCGAATATGAGAAATAGATAAAGTTGGGGTGTCTGGTCCCTGGTGAAACTGTTGTGGGGTGTGAGCAAGATCATGCCAGACATGTCTACAGTTTATTAAGGAGTCTTTATTAACTAAGCTTGGTGATAACAGGGCCCACTAGAGACAGCAAATCACAATTCCTTATGGCAATCCAGTCAATCACAACCCCAAGAGGAACAGATAGTCATCACCCCGAAGTCCATCCATTAAGCTGAAGATCTATGTGCCAGCTTCCCCAACAACAGAAGTTATCCTAAGAGACATGCTACAAATAGCCTAGACACACTTACAAAGCTGAAAATGTTCTCTTTTCCCTGGCTTCTCTGCCCACATTCCACTGCTGCTAGGCCTCACCTCTCCTGGAACTCCTGATAGCGCACAAATCAGAAACAACATTGCTATCTTCATTGTCCTACATAAGCAGTAGACATAGGGTGAGGAATACAGACACACAGGGACCATGCTCAGGGGACACCTGTCCTCAGGGGAGGCCAGAGGAAGGAAGTACAGAACCAGGTACAGGACCAAAAGAGCAAGGCCCTCCTTGCCAGGAGCCTTTATTGGGACTTGTGAGGGGAGTAGTGACACAACAATGCAATGCCACCCCTCTAGGATGACAGGTGACAGTCACAGGTAGGCAGGAGTGAACAACCAGGTGGTTGTGCAGGGAAGCTGATAAGGGCTTTTCCCTGTCAGCATGGAATTAACATTCCATTGGCTTTAGGCCCCACCTTCAGGACAGAGGGTGAGGGACACAGACAAATTCCATTTGCCCACTGTCAGTGGGTGCTGGCTATCACTAGCTGCACCCATAACAAAGTCACTTTATGAAAATATAAAATCTTTCTTCTTCCACAATGCTTTTATTCTTCCAAGGGAACATTCTAAGTCTGCTCCTTGAAGGAAAGCAAAGGGAGGAAATCAGAATATCAGTTTCCATCTCTGAGTTATTGTGATGACAAAAGCAAAGAGATGGTACCTGATTCCTTAGTTTCTTGTAAGAATGGGGAGGGGAAGGCCAGTCACACCCTTTCAGAGTGGCCTTTAGTCCCTCTCCTGGATGTTGTTTAAAAGACACCACTTCCACCATTTTCTCAGGTCTTTCCTCCCTTAGAGGCTCTTCCTGTCACTGTGACAGGAGACCTCTGTCTCTTAAGTAAATTTTGCTTTGCACACTGAAATTGCCTGAAAATTTCTCCTTTCACATGACATAAGAATTGAGTTTGCTCTTTTATTTTGCACCAAATTCCATGCAGTTTTCACTTGAAAAGCAGATTTATAGAGAGGAGAGACAGAAAGAATATCTTGCAACCAATGGTTCACTCCCCAAAGGGCCACAGCTGCTGGAGCTGGGCTGATCCAGAGCCAGTAGCCAAGAACCCTCTCTGGGTCTGAATGGGTTGTGTATTTCTGAGGTGTGACTGCTTCCCAGAGGTGGAGTTCGATATTACACCTTGCTCAGCTTTGATGAAAGCAATATTGCAATATTGATGGTTGTGTATGCAGGTTGTGGAGTTCTTTGTATTTTTGAAGAAGGTGTAAAAAAAAAAAAAAACAACCCAGAAGAATACAATGAAGAAGCAGCAGAGAAGAATCAAGAGAAACAAGTAGATGATGTCTGGATTGGAAACAATGGTGGAAGCACGAGATGCTACAGCTGACTGTAATCACGTGCATCTCTAGAGTCCCAGGGTTCTGTCGGAATAACTAAAGCCTGGGAGAACTTAAATGTTGATGTGGTGATGAACATCAGTGCCCATGATCATAGGGAACAAAAAGCTTCGTCTCTTACTTGAATTGCAGAAAGCTATTGAGAATGGGAAATCTTTCTGTTAGGAAACAGACCTTATAACCTTACGGAAAATGAAATATGTAATTTTTGTTTGCATGTTCATTTTTAGGCAGTCACCTTGTTGTAATTTGACAAAATCTGTCCAAGAAATGAGCCAGAGGCAGACCTGAGAAGCTCAAGTGTCTTTGTGGGGATGGCAGCCCCACAAGATGTTGACAGACACCACCCGGAACCTCCCAAGTGAAGGGTTTATAATGCACAAAGCACCTTCTGGGTAACCAGAAAAACCAGGTAAGGCAGTAAAGAACAGGACACTGTCAATCAGATAAGGGCACAGAGAGCGCAAGTGGGAGCTGTAAGCAATTTACAGAAGCAGAAACAAGCTGTGTGGGAGAGGAGTACAGCCCCACAAGCCAAAGACAGTCAAAAACAGTCTTTTAAGCAGAACAAACATGAGTCATTGGCCATATATCTGGGACTTGTGTTTCAGCTCTTGCTCAAGAGGATAGGGGCTTGGGTCACCAGGAAATTAAGATGGAGTCAGGTTGTCTGTAGTGTAGTAATGCCCTTGTTGGGGTAGGGCTTCAGGGAGGTGGGCTATTACAACCTTTTAGATACTAAGCAATATTTAGGTTGTTGTTGTTGTTTTTTTCCCCAGCTGAGATGCAAAACGTCATTCAATCAATGTGAGGGTTCTTGCCTCCCTAAAATTACTACTGAAATAGAAATATGTGTGCTTTGTTTCAGCATTCTCAGTGGTACTTTGTTTGTGCAGGGCTGAATGTGGTGGTTTTCCTGAATTTCATGACTGCTTGTCCTACCCGTGTGTCTGGTTTCTTCTGGGTCACAGTGTGAGGCGGTTTTGAAATGAGTTCCATGTACTTGAAGCGTGGCTTAGTCTGCCTGCAGACTTCAAGAATCACCAGGAATAAGAGGGGCTGGCTACCATCACTGGGAGGAAACTCTCCTTTTGGAATATCTTTAAGTTAATATCAGTTTCCATGCCTGCTGGTGTCTCCTGTTGGACTTGTCCACTTTGCTGTGTCTGCCAAGCAATGTTTGATTAAGTAGACTACTTGGTATTCTGGAAGTTTCTACAGAGTGAAAGAAATCTGCTGGGACAATGATAGATCGGGCAGAGCAGAAGTGACTCCACCATCCTAAGTGGATATTTCCATCCAGGAATGTATGGAATGGTGAATCACCCTAACCTTGCCGCTGTGCAGAAGGTCAGCACCCTTCATGATGAAGACCCTGCCCTACGCATCACACGCATGCACAAACCGAGGAGCTGCTGCCTTCTCCCATGCCCCATGCGTCAGATGTATAAAAGCCCAGGGCTGTGTGCCCTGGCTGGCCATTTCCTTCACGTGGTCACCCCTGCCATGGGGACGTGGTCCTCGGCCCTCTCCCCTGACTAATACAATTCTCTGCACTAAAAGCTCCTCTCTTTCCCTCACTTCATCACCTTCTAAAGCCAGCAATGCCTGCATCTCCCTGGAAATGATCACTGACTTCCTTGGTCATGTTCTTCGAGTGTCTCAAATACAGCCCATGTGATCAGTGAATATTCCATTGAGAGAGAGATGGATTTGAGCGTGACATCTTCACGTGCTGTAATGATTTCCGTGTAAAAGAAAGATGTCTCCATGATGCTCTCTTTTATCTGTGATATTCAGTTTCATGATTTTGTCCTAACAGTTGCATGCATTTCAACATATTTTGGTGATGGTATCCTTTTTGTCCCTGACTTTTAAAGAAGATCATTTTATTTCTGTAAAGTGAATGCATTTCGTGAATCAAACTTGTGGGTATGTGAAAGATGACAGCACATTCAGTTGTTGTGTCACACAAAAGAAGAATTTTCATTCTGACAACTTCAGTGTGCAAAGTGAGATCAATTTAAGAGACAGATCTACTGCCATAGTGACAGGAGGGGGTTCCAAGGGAGGAAAGACCCGAGAAAACAGTGGAAGTAATGTCTTACTTTTTTATTTAAAAGATCTACTTATTTTTATTGCAAAGTCAGCTATACAGAGAGGAGGAGAGACAGAGAGGAAGATCTTCCACCCGATGATTCACTCCCCAAGTGAGTGCAACAGCTGGTGCTGAACTGATCTGAAGCCAGGAGCTTCCTCCAGGTCTCCCACATGGGTGCAGGATCCCAAGGTTTTGGGTGGGCTGTCTTCAACTGCTTTCCCAGGCCACAATCAGGGAGCTGGATGGGAAGTGGAGCTGCTGGGATTAGAACCGGTGCCCATTTGGGATCCTGGCCCTTACAAGCCAAGGACTTTAGCCACTAGGCCATGGTGCCAGGCCCTGAAACGGTGTCTTTTAAGGACAATTCTGAGAGAATTGAGTCAATCACACAGTCAGGAGACAATTGGGGTCTTTATGGGACCTGCTTTCCTCTACTTGTGTATTCCTTCAGCTTCCTGGGTCCTCTAGCCCAATCCTACGATTCTCAAAATGCACTGATGACCTTACTTTTACAGCATAAAGATAACCAAAAGCTCACAAGTCATTTGAGGACCAGAGGGATCATTCAAGGACTCCTGAGTGCACACTGGCAATACAGGACAGAGTTGCCTCCGGCTGTTTTCATGTGTGGAGTGAGAGGATGTGAAGAGTGACACTGATGGCTGGCCAGAGGTCTAACTTCCCAAGAAAGGACATTTGGAAGCCGGATCTTTTGTCCTGGCACCTGCCACTGTGGGCAGGACTAAGGAGAAGTCAAGTACAAATTGACCTGGGATCCAGGGCTGCAAAGCACTGCAGTAGAGAACTGCTTGTACTCTGATTTGAACAACTCCAAGCAAAATTCACAATATGAGGCTGTCTGTGTCTCTCCTGCTGATCACTCTGGCCCTTTGCTGCCATGAGGGTGAGTTTCCTTGTGACATGTCGGGTAGGAACTTGGCTCTATACACCAGGTAATGTTATTGTGGTTGGGCATGGGCCTGGAAAAACCCAATATTCTAAAGATTTGTGCTAATGCTCCATCCTCAGGACCCATGCTTATTTTTCAATTCCCAATGACCAAGAAACTTGGCAGGAAAACCTCTGAAGAAGATTTTAGGAAGTGTGGCTTGAGCTCTGTGCTTTGACTGGCATGTATGTTTCCAGTGGTCAGAGGTGCGGTGGGAGACCCAGGCATGACTGCCCTGCCTCATCTGAGACTTTGATTCTTTGACTAAAATGCTGAGTCTCTTGTGACCTTTTCTAGTCACTGGTGTCTACAGCCAGCACCTTAAGGAACTGTGGGAATGAAATTAGATTAGATGCATTAAGAAACAGAGGTCAAGGGCCCAATCTGGTAGTATAGTGGTTAAAGTCCTTGCCTTGCTTCCCAGCATCCCATATGGGTGCTGGTTCTAATCCTGGTAGCTCCACTTCCCATCCAGCTCCCTGCTTGTGGCCTGGGAAAGCAGTTGAGGGTCGCCCATGGCTTTGGGACCCTGCACCTGCATGGGAGACCTGGAGGAAGCTCCTGGCTTCGGATTGGCTCAGCTCCAGCCATTGTGGCCACTTGGGGAGTGAATCATCAGGCGGAAGATCTTCCTCTCCGTCTCTGCTCCTGTCTTTATATCTGACTTTACAATATAAATAAATAAATCTTAAAAGAAAAAAAGAAACAGTAGTCCAAAGGACCACTTCTTATATTTGCAGTGTCTAGAGAGTCTCCTCCCCAGAAACTTTCTGGTACCCATTGAACCCTCAACTTCCTAAGTCATGAGTTGAAGCAGGTGAAACTTTATACAGGGGAGGCTGTCAGTGTAGCATGCAATCACAGAAGAATCAGCACTTTTGGAATCTTAGTTTTCAGCCTTCAGATGAGTATCATTGGTTTTGTAGAAGTGCCAGCAATGAGGGTGAGCCAACAGATCTAAAAGCAACAAGATTTTGTGAAATTAGGATTGATTGTATCTGCTCTTATCACAATGGAATGCTTTGTCTATCTGCCTGTCTGCAGGATGTCCCAGGATGTCTGAGACTTACTTGTCCTTTGATTTTCTTTACTCATCACTGGACCTGTATGCTGCCTCTGATTCTGTCATTTCCAAATTCCACCCTAAGCTTGAGGTCTTTTTTTGTTTTGAAGATTTATTTTTTGATTACAAAGTCAGATGTACAGAGAGGAGGAGAGTCAGAGACATAGAGGAAGATCTTCTGTCTGATGATTCACTTCCCCAAGTGACTGCAACGGCTGGAGCTGTGCCAATCTGAAGCCAGGAACCAGGAGCTTTTTATGGGTCTCCCACGCAGGTGCAGGGTAAAGGCTTTGGGCCGTCCTTGACTGCTTTCCCAGGCCACAAGCAGGAGCAGGGAGCTGGATTGGAAGAGAGCTTCTGGAATTAGAACTGGTGCCCATATGGGATCCTAGCATTTGCTCAAGGGGAAAACTTTAGTTGCTAAGCCACGGTGCCAGGCCCTTGATGTCTTAGGTTAAGGTCACAGTAGATCCTATTAGGATCATTTTTTGGGTACAGGATAGACCAAATCCTAGAAAACATCGAACACAATGCAAGGAAAATGCAAGGTTTTTGAAATCTCGCACTTGGATACTCTTTTGTCCCCAAGCCATTCTAAGGATTCTGGTTGCCCCTTCATAATGTAAGAGCCCTTCAAATTTTCCTATATGAGCTTCTTAGGGGTGGGGAGATTGATGCTCTCTTTTTGAGTTTTAGCTACTGTTTGCATCTAATGATTTGTATTGAATTCCCCCCAAATCTACCTGAGATCAAGTTCAAACATCTTAATAAAACCATTGTCTCTTCAGCAGATTGGCGTTCAGTTTTCAGATCTGTGGCAATTTCTTTTTTATCACTCCCTTTCTTTTTTTATATATATTATTTTGTTATAATCGTACTTAGTTGATTAGGGTACAAATGGTCAAGGGCTACAGGAAAGTGGGTAAGACCATTGTTTCCACACTAATATCATCATTTTTCCCCCTTTACTGGGGGTGAGGGGAGAAACAAAGGGAGAAGCCCCACCCAGCTTCCCACCCATCCCAGGTCCCCAAGGTGAAGCATGCTCTGAGGGTCCTGTTCAAGCAGTTTTGATAGTTCAACAGTTCTGAACTGCTGCCAATCTCTCTGTGCCAATCGTGATGAAATCTATTTAGAATCCACTGGCTGACATATTCTTTTCTTTGTTGGGGTTCTGAGATTAGCAGTTCAGTTGGAGGGACTCCAAAGAAACTTCATCTGAGGTGATCCCAAACCTGATTCTTGTATGTGCTTGCCAGTACAGGGCCCGGCACAGTCCGTGGCCACAATCAGCTTATGCACATGCATGTGGTTGCAATTGCTGGGTCAGTTCTGTTTCCACCCCTGTCGTTCATGCGAACCAATGGGTGTTGTAGTCCAGCTCGATTCTGCCCCCTTCAAACTTGGCCCTCTCGCAAACCAGTGTGAGCTGCAGCCTAGTTGGGTGACTCCCCATAACTCCCACCATGCCTGCCCTCTACCCTGGTTCCATGCCTGCCAGTATTTACCTCAGAGTTGTTCGGTCTATCCCACATCCCATTTAGCTCTTGTACTTGTCAATGGGCATTGAAGCCTAGTTCAACCCAACCAATCCTACTATCCAGCCTATACACATACTGATGGGGGAGACTTTCAGTCCAGTTATCTCTTCCTCTGTCCTGGTTTTCGTGTTCTCCAGTGGGAGTGGTAACCCAAGATGGAGGTGCCCACTATTTCCTTACTAGGCCACTCCCACTCCGGGTTATGCACTTTCCAGGTGGTTCTGGAGTTTAACTTGACAGATTAAGTCCCTAGTGCCAGCCTCTGCCAATTGATGGTGTGCAAAGCCCAACAATAACACTCAGCCACTCTAATTTTTACTTGCATCAGTCAGAACAGTGAGCCCATCCTGGGCTTTCTCTGATCTAGCTCACATGAGGCCCACATAATTGTTGTAGTCCTGCCTGATTTGCTCTGCCCCCACCCCAACTCATGCTCTCCAGTGAGAATGGTTGTCCAGCAGGGGAGCCCACTTCCCCCCTTTGGCTTTGCTGCTTCTCTCTCTGGTTTTTACATGTGCTGTTTGGGCACTGCAATCACATCTGATACTGCTTACCCCACCTTGGCATTCCTTAATGTGCACTAGTTTGTGTTGCAACCAAGCCTGACTTGTCCCACACGTTTTCTGGTGCTCAGATTTGACAGTGGTTGATGTGAATGGATTCAGCCTGGATTGCCCAATACAGATGCCAAATGTATGCTGGTTGGTGTCTTCCTCTGGCCTGGTCTGAGTTGCTCCATATCATAGTTCTTATGCTTACCTGTAGGGGCTGTGTTGTGACAGAGGAGTTTCCAAGCTCCTCCTTCAGAACCTCTCCCTATGCCAGGTCTTTTGCATATTGGTGGTTCCATGGGCCAGCCCTCCTTGCTGGCCTTCAATCCATTCCAGTTCTTACTGTTGGATGTTTCACCCCAGTCAAAGGTTATCCATATCCAGACACTGCTCACATATGGCTCAGTAGGGGCAGAGACCTAGCCTAGTCTGTCCTATAGCTACCCAGGTTCTCCAGAGTGCCAGATGGTGCTGGCGCCTAGTTGGGATTGGTGCGCCCAGCCCCAGTCCACACTTGTGCCAAGGTAAATTGCAACTATATCCACACCAGAATATAGCCCCCTACTCTGGCTCCCGCATTCTCCTGTGGGAACCCCAACCTAGCAAGGGTGTACTCTCACAGCTCCCCAACCAAGCCTATTCTCAGCTCTAGATTATGTGCATGGCAGTGGTTACTCTGACCCAGTTGGCTTAGCCCCTCACCTGTCTCAGTTTTTGGCTTTGATGCAGTGGCCTAGTATCCCTGGCTGATGCAGACCAGTTGGTGTAAGTACCTAGTTTGGCATGACCTGTGCTCCATCCTGATTTCAGTTCTTCCTTGTGAGTTGAGGTTTGCTTGGCCCTGTCCAGTCTGTCCCTTCCAGTTGCAGCTCAGCCCACCCCACATCCTATTTTAAGATGCCTTTTCGGGTGCTACTGTTTTGACCTGCTCAGACTGTTGTCAGTTCCTTTAAGCATAAGTGATGGCAGGTGCCATGGTCACACCTAGCTCAGCCCACCACCATCCCAGCTTGTGAGCTACCCAGTGGGACTTGTATTTCCACAGGCTTGAGCTCACATTTCCCTCACAGAATGTACCCCCAGACCTGGTTCTCTCACATGCTGGTTAGTGTCTTGACCCTGCCAAGTGTGACCAGTCCACTGTTCCACCACCCAGTTAGGTACTGGTACCTAGCCCTGTCGGACAGGACCCCATGTATAGCTTTGGTGTGGAGTGGTGTGTGGCAGTCAGTCATGCTCTGTGCTAACAGCCCATCTCAGGATTCCCATTTGGGCTGGTGAATCAGTCTAGCTCAAATAGGTCTTTTGGACTCTTCTCTCCAAACCACTAGTCTCAGTCCGCAAGCTTATCTGAAATTTTTATGACCATGTTACTGGGAATCACCCAGAATTCATCCCTGGCCTACACTGATGTTGAGAGCTAAGGAGTTGATTAGTATTTGTTAAGCTTAGCTCCTGTAGGAAATGGGATTGAGGCTAGTGGCACATGGTCTGTCAGACTGATTAGCACCCTATTGTTCTGCTAGGGGATTGGAGGGAAAACTATATATGGCTGAATAAAGGGAGGCCAGAGAGACCTCTTCCACCATTACTGGTCTCCTGTTGGTGTTTCATTCCCTGACCTTGCCGTGTCCATGTTACTGGCTCAGATGGCCGGTACACACTCACACTGGCCTTATCCATGGGTGTCCCTAGGAAGCAATTACATATTCTAAAAAGCCCAAATCTTGCCACTGGGCGGCCAGCAGGCAGAACCTGGCACCACTTAGTGTGCTGGCCGCCTGAAGCCTAAGACTTGCTCAGTACCTTTTGGCAGTGCCTGAGTCTCAAGCATGGGGCCGGCCTGGATGGCACACCCCCCGACAGCCGCCACACTGCAGTGAGCTGCTTTTTCCCAACCCCACGGCTCAAACCCCTCCTCTCTCACTCACTTTCAAACTGGGTTCTCCAGGTTGTATTTTTGTTCAATATCCATGTTGATCACATGTTGTAATTGACAGGGAAATTTAGTTTGTAAGGAGAGAAATTTCAGAAAGCAATTCATGTGAGTTTGAAAACACCCAGACACCAGTTGAGTGATTCAAAACCTCATTTGATGGGCAGGGTCCTTCACTTTGATCAGGACAATCCTATAGTGGATGCAGAAACCTTGATGATCTTGTCTAGACTTACCAAAAAGCCACAGGGGAAAGATTTGATTTGTTTGTATTATTTCTACTCTTCTGTTGTAGGCAATGCTGTCGTCTGCCCAGCTGTTCTTGCTGAACACACAGTATTTCTGCTGGGTACTCAAACCCAGTTCAGATTACTACTGGCTAAGTTCAATGCACCACCAGAGGCTTCTGAAGCAATGATAACAGTGAAGAAATGCACAGACAATATCAGCTATTTGAAAAGGGTGCTTGTTGAAGAAGCATTGGTAATTTCTTTGTCCTTTCTCTGGTAGCAGTGCCTGTTCAGCCATACAGACAAGTCCAGATGTGCATGAGGTCATGTTGCCACTCTCTGAGGCACAAGAGAGATGAGCACCTGTTTTGTTGCTCACCTCACATAAGGTGACCCAGGACAAAGTCTGGATGCTTCCAGGACACATGCTGGATTAAACTCAGGCACAGCCCTCTTCCTGAGCAAGCTCCCCCTCTGGTTATCTACTTGGTGGTCAAGCACTTTGGGTCCTGAAAGGGGAAGTCTGTGCTGCAAGTGGTGATGTTCAATGGTTCAGCTCTGCTGCTCTCCCACCCAGCAGATTCCTCAGGGCAAACTCCGTTCTCCTAGGATGTGTCAGTAACTGTTGTATCTCATGGGGTTTGGGACTAGATCATGGAGTCAGACAGGGTGTGGAAAGGGGCATGTCCTCTGCCAAAAATAGGTAGTGGCAATCTCAGTTTCTGCACTAGAGTGCAGAGACAGAAATCCACTTACAGTTCTTATTACCCAATTCCCCTCCTCCTGGCCTCTGAGTCTCTTCGTTGTCACATGAACAGAAGATATCCTTGGTGCTGTATCTCCTAGGGTGCCACACTGAGCATTTACATGGGTTTTGTATTGACAACTACTGATTGAGGAGGATCTTTCCACTCATGTACATCTGGGTTTAGACTGTGAAATTCAGTTACAATCCTATAAAAAATGGAGTCCACTGGTGAGAATTCCATGGCCAAGTGGTAGAATTGGTACCCTGGGAGACTGGAATCTCCTGAGTATAGCAACTCCCAAAATCCCATCCCAATTCTGCTCTAGGTTTCTCAGCTATGGATGTCCTGCTGGAGATAGAAAAGATTCAACTGTATCCAACTGTGGTTATAATTTAGGGCTGAGAACGCTGATCCCTTGAGTGGATTTATTTATTCTGTTCTATTACAGACCTGAACCACATACTTCTGCCATTCAGGATGCCAGAAGAATTTTCAAGTCATACTGTTAAAAAAATCATGATTTGAAAATTGTTCCAAAAGAACTTTATTTTATAATTGCATTACTGTGTGTGAACTGCAGGTTTGCTTGCTTACCTAAGAGTCAGAGTAATAAAGAAGAAAGGACAACCAGTATGTGGTGGGGGAGGGAATTGAGGTCAGAGAGAGAGAGAGAGAGAGAGAGAGAGAGAGATGGAATCAGAGAGAGGGAAAGAGAGAGAGAGAGAGAGAGGGAGAAAGAATGTTTCACCCATCCTTCATTTCCCAGATGGCTGCAGTAGGCAGGACTGTGCCAAGTTCAAGCTAGGGAACAGGTGCTTCATCTAGGCCTCCCACTTGGATGGAAGAGGTCAAATGTCTGGAATAGTGAAAACATGTAGCAGTACCCACTGGGAAGCCAGTGTCATAAACAGTGACTTTATATGGTAACACCCCGATGCTGACCCCTCTGTGAACTTGTTAAAGTCCTTTATTTATTTTGGAAGAATCATTTCCAAATCTTGCATGTTTTGCTGTAAGTTTTTCTTTTTCCAGTTTTCTAGCCTAGATTTCACCCTGTTATGATCTCCCATTTTTTGCCAACCAAGTAATTTTTTTTATAGACAAAACTCCAATTACACCCTTGGTTTTTTTTTAACCTGATACTTTCAGGGCAATTATCTGATCTTATGTATTTTTTTTTCTGTGTCTTTCTGTGCTTCAATTTCAGGGAGAAATTTTGTTACAGTGTCCTGTCTGAGATGTGAAAAATATCAGATCCTGGTTTTTCAGGGATACCCTGATCTTAAGTTCAGAACATGAAGGTTTCCATGTCTTGCTTCAATAAATCACTTTCCTTGCATTAAATTGTGTGTCTTTCTTTGTTTCACTTTCAAAAATAAGATTTATTTAGTTTTATTGGAAAGATAAATTCAGAGAGAAGGAGAGACAGAGAGAAAATATCTTCCATCTGCTGGTTCATTCCCCAAGTGGCCTCAACAGCCGGAAATGCCTACTCCAAGGTGAGGAGTTAGAAGCTTTCTAAAGGGCTCCCATGTGGGTGCAGGGTTCCAAGGCTTTGGCCACTCTCGACTGTTTTCCTAGGTCACAAGCAGGGAGCTGGATGGGAAGTGGAGCAGCCAGGACATAAAGTGGTGTCCATATGGGATCCTGGCTTGTTCAAGGTAGGGATAGCCACTTCACACTGGGCCCCTGTGTGTCTTTTTTTACTAATGTAAAGTCACTCCCTTTGGTTGGAGGTAGTTTTAATAAAGTTTACCCAATTCGTATTAATAACAGGCGATTGCTGAAACCCAATGTTCAAAGACAGCAGAAATCTCAGCCATCATACAAGCACATGTTTGGCCAGGAAATCTCCTGTGTTACTTCATAGACCACCCCTTCTTGTCCATACTGATGATAAAAGTCAACAGCAGTTTGAGCACTGCTGATGGCCTCATTGTCTAGCCAGTGTCATCATTCACATCTCGAGCAGCACGCATGTGATGTCCTCATTTCTACTGCAGTCAGTTAGTGCTTGCTCCTCCTCTAGTTTTCACCTATGTCATGAGCAGAATTAATTATTTACAGTTGTCTGCAACTTGCAATGAGCTCCCAAGTGCCACACTTTAATTCACTCTTTGGATTTCGATGATTTTACTTACACAAAGTGAACACATTTCACAGTACAGATTTCAGAGCACAGTGATTCTTTCCACCCTACCGTTTCTCTCATGCACCTGGACCCGCACGGAGCCTTCTTTTGTGCTTCCCTGATTTTTACAGTGGCATATTTTCCTTTTATCTCACAGTTATAGGGTTAGCACTCCATTGGGTAAATATATCTACACATAGCAAATACTGAAATAGTAAAATACTTTAAAATCCTGTTATTGCTTTGGGTTTAGACAAAGGCTGTAAACAACAATCAAATCAAGAATCTCAAACTTGCTCATACAGATTACCTTTATGAAAAGATAATTTTAAAAAAAGGTTTATTTATTTTTATTGGAGTGGCAGATTTTGTAGACAGACGAAGAGAGAGAGAGACAGATCTTCCATCTTTTGGCTCACTTCCCAAATGGCTGCAAAGACTGGAGTTGAGAAGATCTGGTACCAAGAGTCAGAAGTTTCTCTCAGGTCTCCCACATGAGTGAAGGGTCCTAAGGCATTGGGCTATGCTCTGCTAATTTCCTAGGCCACAAGCAGAGAGCAGGATGGGAAGTGGAACAGCTGGGACATGAACTGATATCCATCTGGGACCCATGCGGTTGGAGGTGGTTTATTAGCCAATGGAACCACTGTGCCCGGCCCAATAGAGATTATTGTTTTTGCAGTTTGTGTATTAGTTATTACAGATCAGGAAAAATGTATGATATTTGCCTTTTCTAGACTGGCTTATTTCACCAAGTGTAAGGTTTTCCAGTGTGTCTGTTCAGTTGCAGATGTCAAGTTTTCATTCAATTCTATGACCAAGTAGTATTCCATAAGTGTATATATAGCATATTTTCTTTTTTAAATGAAAGATTTCATTCTTTTTTATTGGAAAGTAGGTGTTTTTAGAGAGAAGGGTAGACTGAGAGAAAGATCTTTCATCCACTGATTCACTCCTCAAATGGTTGTAATGACTGGAGCTGAACCTATTAGAAGCCAGGAGCCAGGAGCCTCTACTAAGTCTCCCACATGGGTTCAGGGTCTCAAGGCTTTGGATTATCCTCCACTGCTTTACTGCGGCCACAAGAGGGAGCAAGAAAGGAAATGAAGCAGTCAGTACACAAATTGACACCTGAATGTGATGCTGGTGCTTGCAGGCCAGTGCTGCCACTATGCTTTCCCACCACATTATTAATTCAATCATTCTAATGTTCTGGGCTGCAGGGAGATGGACTACCTAGAGCAGAATTAGAGTTAATTTCAGATGTCCAAGTTGGCCTGTGTTCTCATCTACTGAGTATTCTTAATAGGTTTAAAGTTTAAATTGACAACTGCTTTCTACGTCAGGAATTCTACGGCTCTGGACAGCAGAGATGGTGGTCCAGCACACCAGAAGAACCAGACTGGGATAGGGAAGCATGAGGCTGTGTGGCAGAGATACAAACCCAAGGCCCCAGACAGAAAAATTCATTCTTCCCACCTCAGACAATTTAGAATAGTGTAATGCTAAAATACGGTGGGGAGACACGGAAAAATAGAACCCTGGAAGGTTTATTTGTACTCAACTTTATTGAAAGTTCAGTCCACTGGTCAGGGCATGGGGAGAAGCCCTTACCCCAAAGCAGCCCTGTGAAGCTGTGGCAGTGAAGCACAGTGGATGTCCATGGTGGGAATTCTGCTCTGTGGGTCATGAACTTCCCAGCACTGAACTCTAGCTTTTAAGGGAATTTGCAGCTGACTTCCCAATCTAAACCCAAGGACAAACAGAGTGAGAAATCCCTTTCAATGATCACATGTAAGCGTCACAGCCCCATGAACGCATGCAGGGGATACATCTGGAGGGAATTCTGACAGAGATCACATGAAAGGAAATAGGAGGCTTAGTGACTGGGAGTGAAATTCTGTATCCGTAGCCACTGGTGGAGGAGGTCAGCCAGGTACAATCCAGTCTCACAGAGAATAAGCTGGAGTTTCATAGCTCTGCTTTGTCTCTCTCAGGGTCTCCACAGGGATGATGAGGATTGGATGAGTGGTACTCAGCCCCAGGAAGTCACAGGCAGTGAGGCAGCAAGCGGTGCATCCCAGCATTCTGGTTTATGACCATTATCTTTGTTCTCAGCCTGCATAGGCACTGTGGATTTCTTTCCTGTGACCTGAGAGGGTCAGATTTGCCCAGTATGCTGTGTATGCCTAGTTGAAGTTATCAGATATACGCAGAAGCATGTATGCCCCTATGGCCTGGTATCACGCTGCTACAAGGACAGAACCAAGACAGGCACCTTGTCTCTCGAGCAGCACATAGGCTAGCAAACTGAACTGGTTTCTTATGGTTGAACCTAAGTATAGATAGAATGAAATTGTTTTTCTCATCATAAGTTTGTTCAATAAAATATCTGATTATATGTATTTGTTGTTTTGTTTTTACACCCAAAGCATTTGAATGTGGGGTAAGGTTTGAAAAGTTGTGGGAACTCGAAAGCAACTTCTCAGTTGTTAAGGCGCCGGAGTTGTATTTTCCCGTGGACTAATAGTGCTAATGGCCATTCAGACCTTCATCATGGTGATTTCCTTAAGATCATACTGCAAGAGGTAGGCCTAGGACCAGAAAATCAGTTTCTTGATCACTACTTCAGGTTCTGTGTGTTCTTCTTTCAGCCACCATTGTGCAGACAATGACTCCAACACGCTAGGTGTTAGCTTGGAAGGACATGAAGAGCCGTTGCAAGAATACCTTTTGAATGCTGAATTTGTGGCTGAGCCTATGAATGTATTTGTTTCTGTAGTGTGCGTGACCTTGGGAGTTATTAATAAATATCTGTTGTAACAACTTAGGGAACTGGAGGATCCTAAAATTCTCTGGTTTGTGAACTTTGAACTTTGGTCAAACTTCTGTCAAACTATGAAGTAGCAAATAAATTGTAGAAGTAACACAATCTTACAAATCTTTGGTTGTCTTCCTTCTGTAAATTCTGGTTCACAAAGAAGCCTTACTGTAGACTGAGTTGCTGATGTTTGATTCACCAGAGAATGACATAATTAGATGCCCTGACAAAATACGGAATTTAACACATATTTTTATTGTGACTCCTGTACCTTGTACAGAATATTTATTCAGATGAGTAAGAACCATCTGGAGGACCCTCTATTTGGACAAGTTCAAATTATTGAGGCAGAAGCCAGAACCACATCAAGTCCTAGGCAAGTGATGATTTTTCCTTTCAATACCAGAGACCACTATTTCCCTTAGAAGTAACATAACTCACCCATGTCTGCTGGGTAAGAATATATCCACAGAATGCATCCCTCTCTACTAACCACTTCCACAATCAAGGGTATTCTTAACGAGAACAACTTAGGTGCCAACTGAGTGGTTTAAAGTAATTCAGATAAAAGAGTATATTCTTGAGTAATTTGAAATGAATCCATGTCTTGACTCTCACATGCATTGACCTTTTCACTTTTCAAAACCTATGCAATTTGTTTTCCTTATTAACCTTATAAAGGTTAATACCTTTATCTTGGTCAAATGAACTTGGCTGTGATTTCCATTAGATGGAGCTGTTTTTTCCTCTGATGACATTAAGTGGCCACTTTTCTTTACTGTCCTTGACTTAGGCAAATGCCATCTACCCCCAGGCCTCTCTGAACACGATCCTTTGGCCTTAAACATTTCCTTGATTTACTCTTGGAGATAACCTTCCAGTCATCCAAGTCTCAGTTCTAATGGCACCCCATTCTCCTGCTTGCAACTGCTTACAGGACTGTGCTTAATAGGTGGACTCTAAGTTCTTCCTCATTTGTGACAATCATTATTCTTGCAGGTTTTACCCGTTTATGAAATATCTTATTTGTGAGTTTTATCTTAGCTTCTTCCAAAGAGAGTTATCTCTCAAAAATCATGGATCAGATCAAAGTTGTTGTAACATTGAATGCATGGCACTCATAAAGGGGTTCAGAAGACAAGGCAGACTCCACAATCCATGTTCAGCCTTGCACATTACTTGTTTTGATGGATGGATGGATGGGTGTGTTGAAATTCCATCAGTGAAGAATCTGTCATTTATGACAATAGTCCGATGGGCTACTTTATACAAGTTTAACTTACATGTATATGAAAACTCAGGATTAAACTATGTACATTTTACAAAGGAACACAGAAAGGTCAGACACACCTGCACCATGATTTGCCCAATACAAACTTGCCTCCAGGTTCCAAATTCACAACTGTATAAGCATAAAAGTCATCAAATTCAGGCTGAGTATTTTCTTTTTTAAAAAAGATTTATTTATTTTTATTGCAAAGTCAGATATACATAGAGGAAGATCTTCCTTCTGATGGTTCACTCCCCAAGTGAGTGCAATGGCTGGACCTGAGCCAACCAGAAGCCAGGAGCCAGGAGCTTCTTCTGGGTCTCCCATGAAGGTGTAGGGTCCCAAAGCTTTGGGCCATCTTTGACTGCTTTCCCAGGCCACAAGCAGGGAACTGGATGGGAAGCAGGACTGCCGACATTAGAACTGGTGTTCATATGGGATCCTGGCACGTTCAAGGCAAGGACTTTAGCTGTTACTCTGCCTTGCTTGACTGTGATATTTAATCTTCACTTGATCTTATCCAAAAGGCCGAGAAGTGATTGTGATGTAAAATCTTAAAGTAGTGTCATATGAATGAGCAGATAGAAAATCAAAAAATTGGGGAATAATGATGCTACTCATTACTAATATTACTATACTAATATTAAACAGTACAATGTGTGAGTCTATTTTTAATAATTTCTCATCATTGTTACATCATGTCTGTTTATTGTTTTACCACAAAAAAGGGCATATGAACCATTTTATATGGAGAACATTTTATATATCACAAAATACAAAATTTGCTTTTTCAAAGTCTATAGATGATTATATTCACAGTGTTGGCTTTACCAAGTTCAGGCAATACACAAAATACCTGACACCTTTCCTTGCCCAAGTGAAATTGGAGCTAGGAGATCTTTCCTAATGCATGGTATGGTACTTGTTCAGTGTGTCCTGAGCAGGGTGCCCGCAATCTCCATTCCCATCATGGGAATCTATGTTTGTGTTCTCCTGAGATGCACAGAACTTTCAGCTTAATTCTCATTTACTATAAAATAACTTTGTCTATGAATTATGTGTCCATTTGTACGTTTGGGAGGCGAGAAGCCTCCCACCAGGTCTGTTGATTTCACAGCCAGGTCTTCACCTAAGGAATGAATATGTGAACTTCAGTGATGAATCAATGTCACACTTGAAGAAAGAAGTTGACTGGATTGTGGTAGCAATAACAGCACATAGAGAACCTGAGTAACCCCCAAAAAGCTCTTCATTAACATTTCACCCATGGCACAAGATAACTACATTGGTCAGGTAAAAATGGAAAAAGAGGCAAAGAGAAGAAGTACAGGAAGCCATGCAGTTGGGGCAGATGGCATGGGGTGTAATGAACATGGTTCCAAAGGCTATGAAGAGTTTCTGGCTGTGTGGCAAGGCCTGGCAGAATGTCTCTCTAATCACATCATTGCTCCCTCATCATGTTATATGGACACTTGATTACCTCTCTGGTATTTCATGGAATTTTCTTGAGGGTGTTGTTTTTCTGCAAATATGAAATAATTTCTATAACTGATTTAATATCGGAATTTGATTGTATCAATCATGTTATGGTAAAAGGGTCTTTAGCAACTTAAGATAATGGGACACAGCTAAAAGCATATGGTAGCACAATTGAGCCTTATATTGTTCCCAAACGTCTTATTGTGTGCCAACTTTTGACCTGGAACTTAAAGATGCGTGATGTTCTCCATAAGAAATGGCTGATAACATCTTGAAACAGCTGGCAATCATGGAGGTACAAAGTTTGTTTACTGTGAATTCTCAAATTGTTACAACATATGAAATGACACATTTTGGATTCTCATCACAGAAAGCACAAAACACACGGGGCATCTTCTAAAGGGAGAAAAATGTTGTGATCCCCCAGAACAAAATGGTTTAAAACTTCTACCTTATATTGGCACTTATATTTAAGGAAAGAAAATAGTTTGAAAAGATAAAAAGAAGTTTTTATAAAGGCCCTCTGTTCATAAAAAGGCTGAGTTGCCTTGATGCTTTTCACTGCCCTTTAACAAAAGAATGAAAAACAATTGAATCAGTACAGGGTGAAGGTGATGGTAATTAGTGTGTGACTGGTTATAAGATTTAATAAAGAATTTATGATATATGCTTTTATAAACTCCTTTCATTTAATGGTTTCTTTTTAAATTTTGCTTTATTGATATTTTAAGTAATATAGGTTAGGTTTAGTGAAAGTTGAATTTGAATATAAGTAAACCACCTGTCACTATATAACCGCATAGTGCTGTCAACCAAGGAGTTCCTGGCTTCAGCCAGGCAACTGCAAGTTTGATTGAGTAATGGTTTGCTGAGAATGTTTTCTTTGAAGTAAAGTGATTGTAATGTTTTTAAAATTATCTTGGTAATTATTATTTTAGCCATGAAAAATGAAACAATTGATGTTGTGCAAAAGCTTGTGATGATTTCGGTATAAATAAAGAAAGCAGCTTTTCTGAGTTGTCCGTTATGAGCATCATGTCATAGTGGTCCACGTCTCTTCTTGACTTCTTTCCTGCTGATATACACAACCTTCCTGAACTCTGAACTTGGCTGGAGCTAGTCTCCAGCAAAGAATCATGCAGTGTAGACAGGTATTGTACAAGTGGAAGACTCCCTGTCTTCCACACAGGCAAGGAAGGACAGGGTCACTTCTTGTGGATGGGATTTCCCATAGCAAGCGTCTACTCTTTCGGCTTCCTATGTACCTGCACTCCTGTTCTTGCGAATACACAGTGGTTTTCCTTTGATGGAACGAAAACGTAATCAGTCATCATAATCTCAAAAAGCAAACAGAGGGTTATTGCTGGAATGCATGAGTGCACATCTGGAGTGCTGAGTAAAGATCACTCTGGCTGTGGCTTTGTTTATAGAAGAGGGGCTTAGGAATTAACGAACATGGAAGGAATCAGGCATTCGAGCGAAAGGAGTACTGGAATCCAGGACTGTGACCTGGCACCTGACTCTGTGGGCAGGACCAGACAGACTCATCGAGTATATAATTCGCAGGTTTCCAGGGCTCCAAGCTGCTTGGGTGGAGTACAAGCCTGACTTTGCTTCCTAAAGCTGATACCTAAAGCATAATTCACCACCATGAGGCTGTCTCTATGTCTCCTGATGGTCATTCTGGCCATTTGCTGCTATGAGAGTGAGTATCACTTGTGATGAATCTGGGAAGAGTCTTCTCTGAACAGCAGATGACCCTGCATGTGGTAAGATGGAATCTGGAACATTCCAGTAGTCCAAAGATTTGCCTAAGATTATTACAAAAGAATCTGCTCTCCAGTACACAGGCTTTATTTTTCGGTTTCCTCAATGTTACTGACACTGGAGAGGGAAATCTCTGCAGGAAAACGAAGGAGGTGTGGCTGGAGTCCTGGCCCTTGAATGACACATATGATCACAGTCAGTAGAGTGAAATGGGAATTCTAGAATGCATCTGGGCACTACTGCTTATCTGTTTTGTTTTGTTTTTTTTTTTAATGTGCTTGGGCCAGAGCAAGTTTAACCCTTTAAGCCTCTTTTCATCACAGCTGCTTACTGTCAGTACTCAGTGGGAATGTGAGAATGAAATGAGGTTAAGCACATAAAGGGTTGCTCTGGATAGGAGCTGGTCCTTGTGCTGCCACTGATCCAATCCTCTCCAAATTCTGCCTGAAGTTTGATGTTGTCTGAATGCCGGGTCTTTTCTGTGTGCAGGATGGTTGCCAGTCATCAAGGCATGGGGAATTAAGACCAGCAATGACTATTTCTCCAGGCCTCTGCATATCTCCTAGTGTGGTCCAGAATGGGGCACGGATTTCTTGTCTCAGTCCAAGGGTTCTGAATTTATCCACAGAGGGCAAGAGTTCATGAAGTGTCATGTACATGGTTCTCTCCTGGTTGGGGACTATTTCTGGAGGAAGCTTAGCTTGTAGCTGTTCATCATCCAGTGGTGTATGTTGGATTCCCAAATTTTGAGTAAAATGATCCTATTTAGCCATTCAAGAGCCTGCTGGCTCAAATCTGGGTTATCTTTCACATCTGAATTCTGTGGTAAGATTCTGACTCTTTCACTTCGTAATTGGTTCCATTAACCCTGGCTCAATGAATAAATCCTATCTTGCACTCTCTGGGATCCTGCATGGGTCCTGGTTCATATCCCAGCTACTCTACTTCCCATCTAGCTCTTTGCATGAGGCCTGTGAAAACAGTAGCGAATGGCCCCAAATTTTGGGAATCTTTTACCAATATGGAAGACCCAGAAGGAGTCTCTGGCTCCTGGCTTTGGATCAGCTCAGCTCTGGCCATTGTGGCAACCTGGGGAGTGAATCAGTGGATGAAAGATCTTTCTGGGGCCCGGCGCAGTGGTGCAAGTGGTTAAAGGTCCTCACCTTGCACGCCCGGGATCCCATATGGGCGCCGGTTCTAATCCCGGCAGCCCCGCTTCCCTTCCAGCTCCCTGCCTGTGGCCCGGGAAAGCAGTCGAGGACAGCCCAAAGCCTTGGGACCCTGTACCCGCGTGGGAGACCCAGAAGAGGCTCCTGGCTTCGGATCGGCATAGTATCGGCCCGTTGCGCTCATTTGGGGAGTGAATCATCGGACGGAAGATCTTCCTCTCTGTCTCTCCTCTCTGTATATCCGCCTTTCCAATAAAAAATAATAAAAATAAATCTTTAAAAAAAAAAAGAAAGATCTTTCTGTATATCCTTCTGTCTTTAAATCTGCCTTTCTGATAAAAATAAATAAATCTTTAAAAAAGAAAAACACCAAATTGATTGTTCATTTCCAACTTTCTGCACTAATCAGGTGTTCTGCAATTGTCAGAAAAAGAGTTTTTCTTAGAGTTAGAAATGGAAATTTCAGTCAAGGGGAGAATCTTAGGGAAAAAAAGTGGATGTAAAGAATCACATAGAATCTAAATGAATGATTGAGAAGCAGGTATTCTCATTCAGTTCTGCTGCTTCCTGTGAATACTCGACTCCTTGCATGGTCTTTCCCTTATAATCATCTCAGTCTTAGAATGAACACATAAAGCCCTGAGGATCTTAGGTGGATTCACAACTGAAATCTATGTAAGAAAGTATTTCGCTACTTAAATTGTGTCTTAATGTGTGTTCTAGGCAATGCAGCCGTCTGTCCATCTGTTCTCAGAACAAGCTTTAAATACCTTTTTGCTCCTAAGCCAATACTCAAACTTCACCTGCTGAAATATGGAGCACCTTCTGAAGCTTCAGATGCAATGGTGGAAGCGAAGGGATGCACAGATCAGATGTCCTTTCCGGACAGAATTCGCATTAAAAAAATACTGGTAAGTTCTCTTTTTCTTAAAAAAAAAAAAGATTTATTTTTCTTATTGGAAAGGTAAGTTAACAGAGAGAAGGAGATAGAGATAGAAAGATCTTCTATGCACTGGTTCACTCCTCAAGTGGCAGCAACGGTTGAAGCTGAGCTGATCTGAAACCAGGAGCCAGGAGCCTCCCCAGGGTGGCATAGGTTCCCAAGTCTTTGGGCCATCCTTTAATGCTTTTGGAGGCCACAAGCAGGGAAATGGATTGGAAGTGGAGGAGCCAGGACTCAGATTGGTGCTCATTTGGCTTCCTGGCATTCAAGGAGAGGATTTAACCACTATGCTATTGCATCAGGTGTAATTTCTTCTCTTTCATGTTATGGGCATTTGTTCAGTCATAGCACTAGGCATGAGGCCAACTTGCTACTCCATGGAGGGAAAAATCTGCCAGCATTCCACTTACCTTGCTTTTTCCCCCCAAAAGAGGTGGCCCGAGTTCATAGGGTGGATTCCGCCAGTCCATCTGTTGAATTAAACTCAGGGACACAGATCTACCCTGCACGTTCCTCCTTCTCAGGTCACTCATTTAGTTCCCACTGTCCTCATGGTGTCCAGAGTCGGAGTCACAGGGAGTGATGTTGAAAGAGCAGGTTCCTCAGGTCCACTCTCCCACTCTCCCACTGCTTAGTGTCAAGGGGAGTTTCTTGCTGTTGGACATGAGGTCAGAGGGAGGATAAAGTCAGGGGTAGGAGATTTCCTCTGCGAACTGGAGCCACTGGTTGATGGAATTTCTCTGTTGGCATTGACAAAGCCAGGAGACCAAAGCAGCACCTTAGGACCCATTTTCCCCTGCTTGACTCCAACCCTATTCCCTGTCACAATCATTGTAAGTTACTCTTGTTGCATGATCTTCTGTAGTGTTTATGGAGAAGGAGAAGTTACATGTTCCTTTGTCATGATATCTGATTATTTAGTTTAGAGGCCATTTTCAGCTGGGGTTAGAATACCACATCCGGGCACCTGCATCCATTAAGTTTTGGGTTTAATGCTGAGCATTATTGGACCATGAGATAAAATAATCCACCATCTTGTGCAACAAATGGGTGCTCAAATATCCTGAATGCAGAGCTTCAGATGGACCCTTTACAGTTATGTTTCAGGTCTCTCAAGCTTGATCCATTGCAGGTAGTCTGTTGTCCTTGGACATCAATGAAAACAACTCCCTGGCACCTGTGTCCACTTATTTACGCATCCTCTTCCATTAGAAACCTGAGCCACATATTTGTGAAATCTCAAAATGTCAGATATCAAATCATATGAACAAAAAATTATGCATGATTTTAATAATGTATATCCAAATTACACACACAGAGAAAGAGACACTGCAAGAGTGAGCTTGTTTCCACTTTCCAGAGGGCTGCAATAATCAGGGCTGGGCAAATCTGAAGCCAGAATCCAGGAGCTTTTTCTAGGTCTCCCACATGGCAGTAGGGGCCCAAATACTTGGGCCACTTGCTACTTTTTCAGGTCACGTAATAGGGATCCAGGGCAGAAGTAGAGTAGCTAAGGCATGAAGTGGTGCCCATACATGTTACCAGAATCACAGGCACTTCACTGTTTCCTGTCATCTATGGTTTGTTGTATTTTTTGCAGGTCTATGTCCTAATTTCATACACACCTATTTGTATTGCATTGTAACCTGAAGAAAGAATTTTCAAAGGCAAAACTCCACTGACTTCTGTTTTTTTTTTTTTTAACTAATTATCACCAGGATAATCATTACCTAATTTCTTTCTCTTTTTCAATTTCAGCTACAAATTGTAAAAGACTGTTAAGCTAGAGGTGAAAATTCAAGAGTACTTGATCCCGTTTTCGGCTTTCAAGGATACCTTAATTTTCAGTGCAAAATGTAATGGTTTCAATGTCTTGCTTTAATAAATCATTTTCTCCCGCACTTCTTTGCATGTCTTGTTATTAAACTACTGGGGCTGGGAGCAGGCCTAGCAGTGGAACTTGGGGAAATCCTCTGCTAGGTTGGAGTTCCCACTGAGGAACACAGTAGCTGGGGGTAGGGGTTAGGCCATGCAAGGTTGTAGCACCTGTAAGCAGGCATGTGGGCCTGTCTGGGGGTGAGCCAGGCTGGGCTTGACTGTAGCATCTGCTGGCAAGTGCTGGGAGTGAATGACAGTTGTTTTAGGCTATACTGCAGTACACCCTAGCAAACACAAGACCTGTGGTTGGGAGTGGTCCTGCTAAGAGAACTGTGGGCACTCTCTCGCTGGGCTGCAGTTCCTGCTGGTGAGCATGAAAGCTAAGGCTGGGGTCAGGCCAGGTTGGTCAAGGCAGCAGTAGCAGCTGTCTGCATGTGTGGGCTGGACCTGGGTGGGGGGTTAAACTGAGCTAAGCTGCAGTACCCCATGGGTATGCATCAAAGCCAGATGGATGCCGAACAGAGTGGATTAGACTGGAGCTCATGGTGGGCCTGGTGAGGGTTATGGGGGTTTCCCAGACTAGGCTGTAGTTCCTGCTAGTGTGCATGAAGACTGGGCCTGTGTGGGGCTGGACTGGTCTAGGCTGCAGCATCTGTCAGTTTGCATGAGAGATGGGCTTGGGGAGAAGCTGACCATGCAGCTGCATGTACAGACCTCACTTGGGGCAGGTGGGATTTAGACTCTGGTGACAGGGAAAAAACAAATGACAGTTTATGTGATCTGAACTTGGAGTGCATGTGTTGGTACTAGGCCTCCTCAGTTGCTCATGCCTGTGCTAGCCTGTGCAGTGGACAACATGTCCAGATACATACGGGGGACATGACAGCCAGCTCATCTAGGCTGACAGAGGACATGGGGTTCCTCATCAGAGGATGGGAAGCAGAACAGGTTGGACAACTTTCCTGGCCAAACTTTGTAGCATTTTCCTGGGTCTGTGGATTCACACTGAGGTGTACTTGATCTACTAAGAGACCTTGTAAAGATTTTCTCAACCCTGGTGCAATGAAGCTGACAATGACTCAGAATTATTTAGACCACTCAAGTAACACCCTCAGAATGCTCTTCCCCACATCAGGGTGTCTAAAGGACCATGCCCTATCTCTGATGCTCCCCTCACCCCTGCAGACTAGGAGAGTAAAAAAAAAATTATCCTGCATATCTCAACTCTACCCACCCTAATTGGAGACCCACATGGGTGTACATCCCTCTCAGTTATAGAAATAATACTAAAAAATAAAAATGAAACATTAAAAAAATACCTCATTGAAGGAAGCAAACAAGAAAAGATTTGAATGTCAGAGATTCTTGATTGGTTTAATCTAACTTTCTACTTCCCGATTCAAGGAGCTCTGGCTATACTGTGGGTTGAGCTGTTATAAACATGGCAATGCTGATTTCATTCCCTTTGGATACAATAGCTGGAGCATATGGTTAATCTAATTTTAGCTGTTTGAGGAATCTCCATTACTGTCTTTCATAATAGTTGTACAATTTTGCATTCCCACAAAGTGTGTTAGGATCCATTTTTATCTACACATCTATTTTTTTTTAATTTGCATGATAGCTATTCTGTCAACACACAAAAGTCAGTAGTGTTCTTATAAGCCAATAACATTTTGAGAACAAAACTCAGAAGATCTGTCACATTCACAATAGCTACAAGCAAAATTTAATTACTTGGGATAAACTTAACGAGGAGTAGGAGAGTGCTCTGCAATGAAAGGTGCAACACATTATGGAGAACATTAGAAGAAGACACACATGAAAAATAGAACAACTTTCCATATTAATGGAAGAATTGGCATAGTCAATATGTTCATAACACCAAACAAACTTACAGGTTCAATGCAATCCCAATAAAAATATTAAAAATATTCTTCCCAGAAGTTGAGGAAAAAAAGTCTTCAAATTTATGTGGGAAAGGATAAATATTCCAAACAGCCAAAGTGATTTTAAACAGTAATAACAGAGCTGGAAGCATCACAGTACCAGATATCCTGCAGGAGTATTGTAACAAATTAGTAGATTAAAGTAGAATTAAGTAGACAGATGAACAGAATAGAAACCGTGGAACTAAGTCCTTACATAAGCAATCAACTAATACTTGACAGACGGGTGAAAATATGCCCTGGGGAAAGGAGAGCTTCATCGACAAATGGTACTGGAAAAACTGTATTTAGGCAGAAGTTTGAAGCAAGGCACCTACTGTAAGCTCGATGCAGTAAAATGAATTTGTGATAGATGAAGTATCTAAACATAAGATTTGAAATTACTAGGGAGGAAACAAGAGAAATGCTGCAACACATTGCTCCGTGTGAGGAGTTGTTGGCTGACTCCAGAAATGCAGGAAACAAAAAGTAAAACCTAGACAAATGGGATTACTTCAAGCTAAGAAACTTAGATGCAGCATAAGTGACAACAAAGTGGGGGCTGGCTCAGTGGCACAGAAGGCTAAGCCTCTACCCAGTGGCATGTGCATCCCATGCAGAGCCAGTTTGTGTTTCAGCTGCTCTGCTTCCTCCCTAGCTTCCTGCTAACGACCTGGCAAAGCAGCAAGGGATGACTCACATACGTAGAACCCTGTACCCAGGTGGAGTTCCCAGCTTCAGATCAGCAGAGCTCTGGCCCTGGTGGCGACTGAGGAGTGAATCAGTAGATGGAAGACTTCTTTCTGTCTCTTCTTCTCTCTCTGTGAAATCTACTGTTCAAATAAGAAAATTAGCAAGAATGTGAAGAGGCACTGCAAAACAGGTGATAAAATATTTGCAAACTTTGTACCCAATAAAGTATTAATAATTTTCACTGGGAGATTTGCTATTGTTTCCTACCTTTATCATCATTTGCAAATTAAAATAGTGAAAACTATCAAAAATTGGAAAAGAGGATTGAACTGGAAGGAAAAAAAATGTGGTCAAGGGCAGCAATTTCCAAGAAAGATATTAAAATCCTACAAGTATCGTCAGGTCAAGTTTTAATCTACCATGTGTTAACTCTACAAGTTGTTTTATTTTGTTGAGAAATATCATTATGCTCTTAAAATCATATATATGAATTTTGTTCCCTTTCCATAAAATAAAATTGATACAAAGCAAAGCAATGATTTTTATGATTTCATAATTTTCATAATTATCAACTTTAATGATAAGAAATAGAAATGATAAAGCTGTAATGTATATCACCAAAATGAGGCTTTTCCATGAAAAGAAAAAAATTTTTAAAGATTTATTTTACTTTTATTGGAAAGACCGATTTACAGAGAGAAGGAAAGATAGAAAGATCTTCCGTCCACTGGTTCACTTCCCAAGTGGCTGCAATGGCTGGAGCTGAGCTGATCCAAAGCCAGGAGCCAGAAACTTCTTTCCTGGTCTCCCATGAGGATATAGGATCCCAAGGCTTTGGGTCATAAACCACTGCTTTCCACAAGCAGACAGCTGGATGGGAACTGGAGCAGCCAGAATTATAACAGGAGCTCATATGGGACCCTGGCCAAGGTGAGAACTTTAGCCACCAGGCGATTGGGCTGGGTCCTGAAAATAAATTCTTATTTAGATTCATAGTGAACTACATTCCCATGAAGGATATGTTCAATCAGAGTGGAAGACCAGGAAGATGAGCCTGCAAGGCAGGTGCAGTCAATGTCCTCCAGGTGTGTCTAGTAGCATGGTGGGTAACTGCATGTGAGGCTGAGTTCAGCATAGAGTAAGATCACAACGTCCATTTTTTGGCCCATCTTTCTTTTGTGAATGCCACAGCCAGTTAACTAGCTAGACTCAACCTTGGGAGCAGAGGCATTAAGGGTGGATGTTTTTTCATAGTAGGAGGTGAACTTTTGTACCATGTTTAGCAACATCCTAAATTTCTATCCATGGATACCAGGGCACACCCATCTTCTTTTGTTGTGACAACAAAACTATGCTTATATCCTCAATATTGGCAGCACCGTAATGTAAATGTCTTTTTTTTTTCAGATTTATTTATTTTTATTACAAAGTCAGATATACAGAGAGGAGGAGAGACAGAGAGGAAGATTTGCGTTCGATGATTCACCCCCCAAGTGACTGCAATGGTCAGTGCTGCGCCGATCCAAAGTCTCCCACACAGGTGCAGGGTCCCAAAACTTTGGGTTGTCCTCGACTGCTTTCCCAGGCCACAAGCAGGGAGTTGGATGGGAAGTGGAGTGCTGGGATTAGAACTGATGCCCATATGGGATCCTGGCACGTCCAGGGCGAGGACTTTAGCCGGTAGGCCACAGTGCCGGCCCGTAGATGTGTCTTTGTTGAAAATTAATTCCCCAACAGTTGAAAAAAGAAAAAAACCACTCAAGTTCTCTATAACTCACATAGATGTTTCACAAGTGTGAGAATCTTTTTAAAAATAATTCTCTCCATATTCACAGACTTAATTTGTCACTAATTATAATAGGCAACAAATCAGAAGTAAAAAGACCTTGCATTCCTGTAGCATGTGGAGATATTTAAAATTAGTTAAAAAACACACACACACACACATGGCTAAGGAAAGGAGATAACATCATGAAATCTGTTCTTGATGAAGTGAATCAGATGTCACACAGAACAGGGTTAAGCTTTTAACCACACATTGTAGGAAAATGTCAAGTTCAGTAAAGTTCAGTGTTTCCGTGAAGAACCCGACAATGAGCTGGAGTCTGACCTTGACCCGTGTTCTGATGCCAAGTTCAATTCCTGACTCATTAGATACATCTGAATTAGATCATGCTGTGGTAACAGTCACCTGTGGAGGAGACAGAGCTAGAGCCCCTGGACTTCCTAACTGCTTTTTCTCTCCATTCTGAAATCCGAACTCCTAACTCAGGTTGTAAAAGGTGGTTTCAGTGACCAGCAGGTCATGGTGATGCCTAGTTTTAGAGGCTGATTTCATCTCTACCTTCATTAAAATGTAAAATTCCATGACCTTTTTTCTTGACAGACACAGAATAAAACAT